TCCTGCTTATTGCAACTCTATGGGAGTAAAAATTAATTGTATCTGGCTTTAAGCTGTGATTAGTGAAACTTGCTGTTTGAGGTAAAAAGGCTCTTGGGACTATAACTAATTTTGAGTTTGAATTTGGGTATAGTTGTCTCCAATAAATCAGTATCTGAAAGAAATGCCACAAGTTACTCAGAGGGAATGTGATGCTGTACTGTTAACAGGTGGAGGTCTGCGTTTGGGAAAAAGCTGCGAGGACAATCTTAGTCTCAATCTAGGATGGGATCCTCCTGGCTCAGTTTCCCCATTATGTTTCTTTGAGAAGGAATGTTTCCCACCTGACAATTGCTGAGTCTGGTTATGATGTGGAATTGATACTACATGATTGGAGAACTATGACTCTTATCTGAATTCAAACAGAGCTAAGGATGTTTTATCTTGTCATATTTGTCATGTCACATGTCCCTGCCTTTTCCTTTTATAGTAGATTTCTCTGATCAGAGCAAGCGGTCAGTAAAAGACATGAGCACAATGTAAGTATGTGAGATCTTGCTGTTTTGATCTGAATTTGTAGTCATTCCATGGCCTAAGTAAGAGTAAAATTAGTGTTTGAATTTATCATATGTAAAAGATTCAGTTTCTAAAGTAAAATTAGAAAAGGATGAACAAGTTTGTGGAACAAAATTGTGTATCTATTTAGTTGTGAGGTTAAAGTTAGGAACCTCTTTTGTTTAAGGCAATTTTTGCAAGAAATCCCCTACCTAATGTAACCAACTCAGAGGTCTTTGCCACGCCTTTTGTACCGGCCACTCCTTTATGGGCAATGGGGAATTATTCCCTTGCTTGGGAGACAAGCTCTATGGCCACTGTACAGGTAAAGACCCCTGTCAGGGGAGGGGTCTCTTGACTTGTACCACCTGTAAGGGTGATGAGTGTCACATCTTTTTGGCCCCTTGTCTGCTCCAGATTTGTCTCCTCTAGGCTTAGTGCCCTCCATTTCCAGATGACAGCTCAGGCTGCGTGCCAACCTCTGTCTGAGACCACAACACATCACCCCTTGGACCTGGAATTGGCCAAGTTCCAGACACTGGCTAAAGCACCAACCCCTTGAATGGAAGGACCCCACAAAACTGGGACACCTCTACACCCGTTTACCCACGGATTGGACAGGGAATTGTTCCATTGGGCTTGTCCGACCAAGGCTTTTCTTTTTGTCAGGGTAGATGGGAGGTTTCTTAGGAGTGAAGTTTTGGACAGAAGTAGGAGTATTGATACGTCCCTGACCAGTGCAGGTGATGCTAATGAATGGGGAGACACTTGGCCCCCTGAAAGAATAATTAAGACATCTGGTCCAGCTACTTGGGCCCAGGATGGTAGTTGGGGGTATAGGACCCCCATATATATGTATCCTCAACAGATTAATTAGATTATTTACTGGCTGAAGAAGGTGGGGTTTGTGGGAAATTGAATCTCTCCACCTGTTGTATGAAGATTGACAATAATGGACTAGGTTAAATTTGGTGTGTGCTCCAGCAGGGTATATATTTGTGTGTGGCAGGTCTACAGACTCTTCAATTGCATATGAGGCTTGGCTTAAGCATACACTGTGGGATATGGTTACTGTTCTCAATGCCTTCCAATGTCTGAGTCCCTACAACAATGAAATTTTATTCTTTTTGTTATTATGATTATTGTAATATGTCTTTTATTTGAGCCTTGTATACTGAATTGTTTAGTATCTCTTGTTTCTTCCAGACTACAATCAGTTACTGAATCAGTCAAGTTGCAAATTTTGAAGGAACAGGGGGAAACTGTAATAAACCAAGAAGAAGGAGTTGAGAATGGGGAAGGAAATGGGTAAATACATAATAAGGCAAATACAAAAGGCAATACAAGAGGGAGTAGATAGATTGATTGAGGAAATGTATCAGCAATGGTGTGAGAAGTCTTCAGGTAATATAATAAGAGGAGGGATTGTGTGGGATGCCCCTATGAAGACTTCTCAACAGCAGCTGTCTAGCTCCTTCTCACAACAGCGTCTTGCTTGATCGCACAGTCTAAATTGTTCATTTTTGCAGCAAACTAAGGTGATGGATATGTATATTGTTTCTTTGCTCTCTGTCTCTGGGAATAGATTTTCGTGCATAGACTGTAAGCCAAATATTGGTTAGTTGGTGGGAGGGGGAATTTCCCCCGTTTCTGTTATTTAAACTGGCTTTCTGCTTTTGTAATTTGTCTTCCTCCATCAGAAATCATGCTGGTGAGAGGAACACCCAATTCTCAAGAATTGAAATAAACTTTCTGTTCCCACTTTGAGATACCTCTGAGTTTTTTTTCAGGTCACTATCCCACACAAACATAAGGAATATATGCATACTTCCATCCTTAGGAGGGCTTTCACTGCAGTTGATTGTAAGCCTTCAATTTCTTAGCTGAGAATTGCTGAGTTTCTTTGGCCAAAACAATTCATTACTTACTGGCCTATTGTTTGGCAGATGAGACTATTAGCTAGGTTGGTCCTTTGTTGATAAGATAGAGATTCCATCCCTAGGGTCACACTTAAAACCTTTCCATTAGAAAAAGGTTTCTAGAGCCAGGACAGCTCTAGAAAACACAGACCATCCCCACAACACCATAGCTGATACTCATATCATCTTTTATAGTTTGAAAAACATACCACTACAACTCCAAGAAATCATAAAAAGTAGAGTGTAAGTGAGAGGTGAGTAAAGTATTATAAACACTCATTGGAAGAGAGAGCTCAGGAAGTGATCTTTGAAGAACTTCAACAGCAGAGAAACAGCTGGGCCTGGGCATGGTATCCCAAATACAGAGAATAAAACGTCCAAAGGGATGAAAGTGAGAAAGTGAGGTAAATGTACTGTGGACTGAGAATAATACAGTATAGAGAATATAGAGAAGGTAATCACCTGCTCTAAACACCTCTATGTGTTAAGTACAGCTGTGGCTTGGAAAACAAGCCAATGCCAGATCATGGAAAGTTTTAAATGCCAAGTTAAGGATTATAGGATTTAAAGCTGGAAGGGATCTTAAAGCTCATCTAATGAGCAAATGATAAGAGTGACAAAATCCTCTTCTCTTCTCTTCTCTTTGCCTGCATTAGAATAGTGTGTGACAGCTTGGGGTAATAAACTCCTCTCTTCCCTGCCTGGAAAACTATTCTGAAGACACATTTTCACATCCTTATGAGTGCCTAAACAATAACTGGGAGAGGTTGGGACACAAACATGGCTGTTCCTGGAGAGCAGTCACTAATCATCTTCAAGTATAATGTATTCAAAATTTGGGAAAAGCTTCAAGTTTTAGGATGTTCTTCACCAAGTGAATCCTATCTAACGCCAGGATGATGTGTACTGACCATGCCATACCACCTCTCTGCTCAAAATACTTCCATAACTCCTTACTGAGTAAAATTCAAACACTTTTGTTTCATCTTCCATCACCCGGCAATACTCTGTGTTTCAAGCCTTCTTTCTTGTTATACCCCTCAATGTACTCAAACTAAACTACTCTGTGCTGTGCTACTATTCCCTAAAATACTCTCCTGTCTTTTGCTTCTATCTTTTTTTTTCTTTTGCTTCTATCACACTATTCCCTAAGCCTGATATATCCTCCCCACTCTCTCTTCACCTGCTACATTTTTATCTACCCTTTACAACCCAACTTAAATGCTTGCCCCTTCACAAAACTCTCCCTGATTCCCCAGCCCTAATCCCTGTCATGACTGACCTTTTCACCTTGGATTTTACGCAGGAGTTTGTCTTGAAACTATAATGCTTGCCTCACGTTCCCGAGTGCTGTCATAGCCTATGAGTTTTTAAGTTCCATGAAATCAAGAACTGTCTTATGGAGGCTGGACCTCTATTCCAGCCACTTGCACAGTACCTTCCATACTTCCTTCACTCAAAGATGTTCCCTAGAGTCTTAGCACAAGTTTAAGCTATTGGGGCTCAAAACTGCACTAAGACATTTGGGACAACTTAAATAATGTTGTTGATGAGAAGACACACTCTGTTGATTCAGATTGCAGTGCTGTTATAATTTGGAAGCTTGTTAGATCATATATTATAGGATTAGTGATGTAGAGCTAGAATAGAAGATACCTTAAAAGTGATCTAGTCCAATCCCCTTGTTCTACAAATAAGGAAACTGGGATGGAGAGAATGACTTGCCCAAGATGATACAAGTAATAAATGATAGGTGGGGGTTAAACCCAGGTTCTCTGACTCGAAGGCTTTCCAATCAGTGCCCCATGCTGTTTCCCATGCTAATGTAGCTTTCAGAATTTGCTCCAGCCAAATAAATGAATCACCCTAGCAGGGGTGGGGAACCTGCAGCCTCAAGGCCACATGTGGCTCTCTACGTCCTCAAGTGTGGCCTTTCCATCTTGGTTAGTAACCCCTGGGTCCTGGCCTTTGATGGCACAGTTTTTAAGAATTACTGAAACATAATGAAGCTTTAGAATGGGGGCATCAAGGTAGTAGAGTGGATAGAGCACCTGTCCCAGAGTCAGGAGGACCTGAGTTCAAATTCACCCTCAGATACTTGACACTTACTGTGTGATCCTGGGCAAGTCTCTTAACCCTGATTGCCTTGCAAACAAATTAAAAAAAGCTTTAGAATATAAGACTTCAGTGAAGCTCTGTACATAGCAGGCACTTAATAAATATTTGCTGAATTGAATTATATTTTACTGTGAATTAAATGGGTGAATAACCTTACCTTTTCATGCTAATTTGTAGTCTGCTCAAAACTACTCAACTGAATTTTCAGAAGCTTGGTTTAGAGAAGATTAGACTTCAAAAGTTTATTTTTCATATTAAGAGGTCACCTCTATCAGTGTGCCTTGAATCATTATGAGCAATATAAAAACTATACATTTTATCTGTACAGAGGAGGAAATTGCAAGTCTGCTTGTGGCTTGAACTACAGTATTCAGCCATATAGGGGCTAATAAAGTTCTTAGCATCTTTAAAATCACAGGTAGGACTTACCAGTAAAGCAGTGGCATCTGCTACCATCAACATGTAAAACACATTGTTCCAGCCAGAGGGGGAGATAAGCCCAGCTAAGAGAGGACCTAAGGCAGCACCTAAAATTCATGAACATGGAAAAAAAATGAGTTTTTAAAGATAGTTACTTTTAAAGTCTAATATAAATACTTTTACTCACTATTCACACTATAGAAATTACAAATTCTGTAATAGCAGGAAGCAGAAATAGTACTTAAAACTGCAGTAGACTGATATTTCCCAGTATCAGGAAACCATATGTCACTTTTATGATTCACTGAGAAGACGTTAAGTTCTAATTTGTGATTAGAGAAAAACTTGGCCTCAATCTAAACAAAACATGATTAATGTACTTTGTAACACATAATAAACAATGAATTATTGTGAATCAACTTGTTGCTACTATAGTACATTTCAATTTTAATTTTTACTTCTTTTTTAGCCGATTGGTTGCCATTTATAGATACAAATGACCTCTCATGACTAAAGAATAATTATTTAAGACACTGGGGTAAAGAGGCCAATGTGGTTTTCTTATGAAATTATTTTTCATACTTCTAACTGTAGGATTGTTACATAACTTTAAAGAGAATATAAAGAGATCAACAGTTTCTTGTTGTGGAAAGAATCCTGAATCTGCAGATAGAGGACCTCAGTTTCAATTCCATTTCTGATTCTGGGCAAGTCACTTAATCTCTCTGGGCTCCAGTTTCCTCAACTGTAAAATGAAGGGGTTGGATCTATGGTAATGAAAATTGGCTATACTCAGTTATCAATGCTGATACATGGCCCCTTACTTTTACGTACTACTTTAACTCAACATGAGATACTCTAAAGATTCCTGCTGTAAGTGGGCTTCGTGACCCATGTTTTGAATAGAACACTCTTGACATTGAATTTTGTGTTCTATCTACTGGGTTAAGAATTGTGGTTTTATGCAGCAGCTAGGTTGTGCAGTGGATAGAACACCAGCCCTGAAGTCAGGAGGATCTGAGTTCAAATCTGGCCTCAGACCAAACACTTGACACTTACTAGCTGTGTGACCCTGGGCAAGTCACTTAATCCTAACTGCCTAAGCAAAAAAAAAAAAAAAAAAAAAGATTGTGTTTTTTGTATACTGTGTATGACAGCTGGCCTTCATAAGATGAATGTGAATTTAGGAAGCTAGGAGGATACTAACAAATTAAGCCAAGAATATTCTAAGCTAACTAAATTCTTATTCATACAGACATCATCAAAATAAGCTACAAAGTCACTTGTGCAGGCAGATATGTTAAATATCACTAAGACTTAGTGATTTACTTGTCCTAAGGACTTCTCCCCAAAGACTCCAAGAAAGTACCCTTTGGGAATTTTAGGAATAGTATCTTCTTTTTTAAACAGAGGAGGAAAATCACCAAAATCTCTCTATAAATTCAAAGGCACTTTCTATCACTATTGAAATTTAAGAATCATTTTTTTATATCAATAATCAGATCATTACTTCTTTGTCGACAGCATCCAAATAAATTGTTTCATGATCTTTGAACAGCTGTTATATTGTGTTATCTATGTTAAAAGCTGCTATCACCTTCTGAAAATGGAAAGTAAAAATTTTGCCTGGTCCCAATCAGGATAAAAATCATTTGTAAAATCAAAAAAAAATAAATAATTCACATTTATTTCCTATGTAGATTGCTCTTGTGCCTACTTAGGATGGTGACTGGTGCCAGAGGAATGAATGTGAATAATGTGCTCTATCCATAAAATGAGCAAATTGCAGAGAAAAGCAATATAATGAGAAAATAATAAATAACCTATAATGAGAAAATAATAAGTACCACAATATAACCACAGATTGTATTTTTTCAAGAATTTTTCTACCAACAGAAATTCCATAGTATTATTTTGTATTTGTAAGATTTTTACCTTTTTAATATTACTATTTCTGTTGCTCTCACATGCAATGCTACTGTTTTCATAAAATCAAAACAATTTAGCTTTTGCATTATCATTCTTATTTTACAATGGGGGAAAATGAGGCTCATGTATTCTGACCAACTCATTGGCTTATAACTTTTGTTTCTAATACTTGAAACTCAGTCTCCTGACTCTAACATTGATACTCTTTCTATTATGCCCAGAATGTGAAGCTATCATCAATTTCCTCTAGTTTTTTTTTATATAATTCATAATGCTTTAGCTAGATATCTACATTATACTTTCTCTACCAGAGTACAGAGATGGTAATTATATTAAGGTCTTTACCTATTGTCAAGCATTCTAATTTACCCATTTCATTTAGAAGCATTTATATATTCTGATTTGATACACTATCATTTAGCATCAGCAAATAGGTACCATTTTAATTTAGGCGAGTTTCCAGCAGGAAATGTCCCTTTTCTCCAAAGATCTCCATAAGTTTTAAACCTAAAACACTTAGAAGAACATTTATAAACAAAAAATAATACCCTAACACTAATTCTTTGAAATAGAGATATTTTCTTTAGCAGTATACAAAAAGGGTCAAACATTTCTTGGGCTTGATAGTCTTTTCCAGAAGAAAAAGACTTAATGTCTTTTCTGTATCTGCAACTGGTCACAAGTGGAATTGAGTTGAGAGAATATGTCTGATTCAATGACAATCCATTATTACTGGAAAAATCACATGTTGTATTGCTGGTTGTTCAATTACAAAGACTTGTACCAAACACAACTAGACTGTTAAGTACATTTGCTTAACTTACTTTTAAAAACATTGAATTTCAAATGGAACAAAAGAACTTCCCTTTTTCTTCCTTCCCTTCCCTTCTCCTCTTCCTCTCCTATCCTGCAAAAAAAAATCCTACAAACTCCAAACAAACAAAAAGGACCTCAACTAGAAACACCAAACAAAAAATGATAAAATGTAGTTCAGAAATCCATATTTATAAATGAAAGTACAGCATATTATTTTTCAATAATGTCCAATGGGCCCTCCTTTCTCAAATTTTACTTAGTTCTCATTATCTGTGAATTATCATATAAAACAGGTATCCCACAGAGCCACTATTGGTTACTTAAGTTTGCATCTCTAAAAAGACATCTTACCTATAGAACCAGTTCCATCAATGATAGCTGTCACAGTGGAGAGGGCTTTGGAATTTCCCTTCAAACTTTTATGGGTACCCTAGAGTAGAGGGTGGAAATAATCTGTCATAACAGGTCATCACAAAGTGTGGAGTGAGAATAAACCAATACTCTCAAAACTTGCTCCTGCCTAAAATTCTCAAGGCACTTTGCCTAGACTTCTACTCAGAAGTTATCATACTCCCCCTTGTATCAGAGTTATTTACATTTATGTTCTATCTTCCCTATTAAATGGCAAACTCTTTTAGATCAAGGCCAGTGTCATCTCTATTTTTGTATCCCTAGCACAATACTTCAGATACAGTAGAAGCTTAATAAATGTTCATTGCATTGAACTGTATGTGAATATGACTTTATGAAGGATAACACTGCACATAGATATTTTCCATAATTTTTGTATTCATTTGACAGCAAAGGAAAAGTTCAAGCTTTTAGTCTATCTAAAGTTATCAAAAATAGCAGTTTGTTCTTCTAAATGGAGATCTTAAAATTCTTCCATTTTGAGGAGGAAACAAATTGAGTTTTGAGAAAAAAATATAGTGTTCCAAATATAGGACAACTATGGAACTTTTGATAACTGGGTTTAAATATGCTGAAAGCACCACATTTCATTGAGATTTCCATATCTGTTAAGTGAAATGAAATTAGCTTTTATTAGTGATATATGTAATATGTCTGCAGACTGTAAAAAAAATACTGGTTGCCAATTGCTAAGAAAGGTGTTGTCTTCTCATTCAGCAATGACTAAAGTACTTTGCTATGAAACCCAGACTTGGTTCAGTTTCCAAAATCAGGAAGAATTAAATGATAACCAGTGGAAAAAGATAACTACCTGAGAAATACAAAATTCCAGTTTATAGAAGAAGATAAAGAAATAAAAAAGAGTAAAGAAGAGTAAAGTGAAATGAATCATTAAGTCTCCTAACTTCTACTCTGTAGTGGAGAATTATCTTTTTTCAGGGTTAAAAAATGCCACAATTTTAAACTAACTGATCAAAAGAGATTGGCCCCTTTTTCTAGAAGCTGTTCTTTTTAGACAATTTCCCTCTGATACTCAAATGAATTCCCAAAACCCAGTAAAATTCTATCCTTTTTCTAATTTAGATTGTGAATTGTTTTAGATTTATTAGAGCCTTTTACTAGAGTTCTACTCCTTGCAAATGGATCCTTTTATTCTTATTTTTCTATTTTGTTTTCTAGTTCATTCCTTCCCATGGTTCTCTCTCTTAGCATTCCTTTTACATTTATTTTTTACTCCTCTCTCTCCCCAACTTTAGCCATACCCATAGCCTTTTTTTCTTATGATTTTCTGCCAATATTCCTTTTCCCTACCTCTCATCTTTCCTTTCTCCTTTCTTATTTCCTTGAATTTGTCTTCTTTTCCTCTATCTTCTCCTTTTCTTTCCTTCCTCTTCTACTGTCTTTAGAGTCAATTAGACAAATTAGAAATGAAGAGGGAACTGGGATAGCTAGTTGTTGGGTGGCAGAGTGGATTATGCCAATGCTAGAGGACAAAGTTATCACTGACTGAAGAAACGGTGAGGTCATTTGTAATGGATTGAGGGACGGGTAAAGGTGGCAATTTCAGGACCTTAGGCAGGAACCAAAAATGTACAAGCCAAAAGAAAATGAAAGCAAGTGATTATTATAGAAGTTCTAGTAATGAAACAGAGACTGGGACAAATGAACTTTCATGATAAAATCTCCCAACAGACCTGTAGTCCATCACCTTCAAAAAGAGATATTCAAATAGAATACAGAATTTGAGTAATATGGGACACTTAAATATTAAAACAAATAAAAGTAAATGCGCTATTAAAAAAAAACCTACTTATTGCCCTGGCATCCTGCCTTTCAAATACCTCTATGAGTATCTTGTTAGGACTGAGATGGTGAAGGCGGATAGTGATGTGAAGAAGAAAATAGCATTTGTACAAATGTTTGCAATTGTTAATTAAAAGAGTAGGAAGACACTTTTTGGATATTGGTGGTGGTTGTTTGGTGTGGCAGTGTGAGATCTGGTCCCTGAGTGGGTTTATGACTAAGCATGGAGAAATTATTGAGTGAATAAAGAATAGAAAGAGAGGGGAGAAGGAGGGAAAATGGGATGTAGAGACTGAGCATAGGATATGAATCACTTATTAAGTCTGTACAGAACAAGTGTTGACTATAAATGAGGATGAGAAAGAAAGGATGCCCAAGTGAAGGCTTTTACAGCCAATTCTATGTTCAGAGTGACTGAATGGATCTTAAGATATATGGGCATGGAGACACGGTTCTAGGATAAAGTAGAAGCAATCATTCCTTGTCTATCCAGCAGCGTAGTGACAATGACTAGATCCATATCAGCATTCCAGAACTTCAGGCATGGAACATATAGATACCTAACTGGCAGAGTTGTAGACCACAAGTAGTCTCTGCATGGGAAAAGTAAATATCCAGGGAGAAATCAACATGCCCAGAATCTAGGTGTGATCATAATTATATATAAATTGCTTATGAAGATGAAGTCAAAATAATCAGAAATATTACAAAAGAAGTTTTTGACCAGGGTTGTGAGAAGCCTGGAGGAAACGATTTAAGGAAGTCCAGACATTGATGGATAAAATCTCTACATGAGTCATGTTGCCTAATTTCCCCAGATCAGGCTCATTATCTATCCGTTTTGAGAGAGCAAGATGGAGAATCTGGTTCTTTTAAGGCAGTGCTAGCTGGTGTTCAGAATGAACTCGAACATGTCTGCATCAAATCACCTCTAGTTGCTTATAGCAGAGTTGAATTAGATTGAGCAGCGCCTACAATGGAGAAGGACATTACAATGGTAAGAAATCACTAGGCTCTTTAAAGGGAATTAAAGGAAATATTCAGGTATTTGGATAGGATTCGAGGCAGATGGCAATGTTAAGTATCAAGCAGAGGTGAAATTAGGATATTTGAATGAGATCAGACATTTGCAAGCTATTTTAGTCTGGAAGGGACAGATTCTGATTAAAATATTTAAATGAGGGTTGGGCAATAAATGTCCTGTGACTGCCTCACAAGACATCCTCCCCTGACAATCAAAGAAGTCTGATAGATATACTCATCCAGTTGGACAACAGATTGCAATTTTATAGGGGCAAAGCATGTGACTTGAAGAACTTGGGGGGAGGGGAATCAGGTCCCTGGACAGGCAGCCTAATCTAGAGCCAATACAACTAAGGACCCCCTGGCATAAGCATGCTACAAGACACAGATACTGGTCATGACTGATGTGGAGCCCATGTCCCATTATTTCATTTGTGCTTTGAAGCTGGGCTCTGGATAGGAAAAAGCAGTAGTGGCAATGGCTAAGATAAGGGCCTGTGTCTCCATCAGTTAGTCAAAATAGTAAGTTTTAAGAAAAGTGGAAAGGTAGTGGGGGGCAGGTTAGTAAAGGCTTTGAATATCATACTGGATTTTATACTTGATCCTGGAAATGATAAGGAGCCGTTTCAGCTACTTAGGTTTGGTCAAGTCCATTTCTGCTCTGGTGGGCCATGACAGTACCAAGGTCACAAATTCAGAGTTATCAGAGGAAAGACACTGTCAGTACTTATGATCAACTCCTATTGGTTGGGGTGAGGTGTGGGAAGTATTTCAGCAACTTAACTGCCTTTTGTGGATATACGTGGGTTGAGATAGGACAACAAGAAACCTTTGGAACTGTGATGACCATGCCCTGACAGATGTGGATTGACAGTTTTTTACTGACATGGTTTTGATTCTCCCGTGGTTTCCACAAGGGAAATGAGGGCTCTTGAGAGAAGCCAAAGAACACAGAGTCTAGATGTGAATATAATCAGTGATAAGTAGAGAAATTCTTGAGAGCCTGTATGAATAGATCTTTGTCGTAGACAATCTTATTACCTTTTAGGGACCCCTTCCCAAGAAGATACCTCTCTATAATAAGACATCATGAAGGGGAGTCTAGCCTTTGTTTGTGGAGTACCTGTTCTATGGATGGTGAACATCAGTCTCAAGTGGTTGGCCATTCTGTCCGTATAACATAAGACAGACAATCAGGTTTATTTTGTACAAATCTGTACTCAGAAATGGGCTGTTTGACTTTGAACACTCACTTCATCTAGCCTAATCTTCTTGTTTTGGAAGATGAAAAAATCATAAGTTCTTTCCTCTTTCTGCATTACAAAGTTCTTATAAGGACAACTGAAAAGACATTTATAAGTTCAAGGTCAAAAAAAAAGAAATAAAAGGTAATTATATTTGTTACTTAATATCCTCTTAACTATATTTTGGAGAAGAAATACAAAATAGTATATTTTTCAAATGCTAGAAACAATTGAGATTCAGCAATTGTCTGAGATGCACAGAAAAACTTACCAAGTCAGCTGAGACTGCAGTTGTGATCAGTGCATAAGGACCATTGACAAGAGCTCCACTGATAAGAAGCATAACTGGTAAAGATCAGTAAGAACAAATTAGAAAATAGGGGGTGGGGAGTCTTTTCCCAATCAGAACCTATGTACTTGTAATAATTCCTTAAGTTTTCTGTTTTGCCCTCTAAGCTGCCATATCTAGCATCCAGTGTTCATTCTCTTCAGTGTGTAGTTGCATACAGCTACCTGGATGTATACAATCCAAGTAAGAGAAGGATTATCTTTTATCTTTGAAGGAATTACAAGGATTTACATTTGGAAGGACCAAATATATTATCTTCCAAACACATTTCATAAAATCATAAATTTAGAGTTGAAAGAATCTTAGAAGTCATTCAGTTCAATTTCTTTTTAGAAATGGAAGAATAGCCTGAGTGAAGTTGCATGATTTGACCAAGATCACCAATCTAGTGTGTTTCAGAGGCAGTCCTAGAACACAGCTCTTCCTGGCCTTAAGGCTACCTTTCTTAGCCACTATATTTTTTCAGTTATTTAACCTGTCTTTTCAAAATATTTTTAATTGTCATCCCTCCTCATCCTGATTCTCAAATGATAGTATCTCTGAATAGTCTAGTAATGTGAATATTTACTTAACCCTTTACCCCCTTGCCATGCCCCAATATATTTGTTTGGCATCTGAAGGTTCTCATAAGTTTGAGATTTTATTAAAATAAGGCAATCTGTAGCAGCAACAGAAAAGATAATGTAAATTGTATGTATTATTTCATTATTGCATATTATTCTAACCACTAACTGCTATGACAACCTAGGTAGAAAAATCTAAGGAATACTATGTGAAAGGGACCAAAAAATCTTTTAATTATAAATCAACACTTACCACAGGCAAGATTGCAATAATTATTTTGAGCATCTTGACTTTTCTCAACTTCATTCTTGCCAGAAATTAGGCTGAGTTAATAGGACACTATGTGGCCTTTTGGAAGTTTGAACATTGGTCAAGGAGGGTTACTCAGGGATATAACGTCATATCATTTGTTTTTCAGAAGACTTTAATGACTGTTCTTTAATAACAAATTATAAACATCCATTAAATTTCCCCTTTAGGAATAGAGGAATATTTAAGAGGTGACAGAAGCATAATTTGATATTGTTGCTTGCAGAAAGTTAAAAATAGCTTTCTTTTTACATAACTGGCCCAAAATGTTGAGTATGAACAGCGTACAGTGGGTTGGAAACTGATGACAGCAATAGAAAGAACAAGGCTTTGATTGTAGGAGGCCTGTTTCTTGATGAAGTCACACCCTGAGGCTCTTGATAAGGCTGGCCATACTCCAGGAGCCAAATGATGCACTAATTACACTAACTGCTATAGTTCTGAACTCCCAAAACATGCCTTCATATACAGTACTGAACCACAGGCGAGGAAGAAGCCAAAGTAGTGTTCATATTTCTAAGTTTACCTTTTTGACTTTGAAAAAAGTCAGTTTCCTCTTTAAATAAAAAAGTATCTCTATCCACACTTTCCCTTGACCACTTGACACTAAGGATTTGTAACTGTTCTAAACAATGTTCTATGCACTCTACTTTCATAATCTGTTCTAATACTATAGATGTACAACTCTCACAATATGACTGAATTTGGGACATGAATTTGTGTTGTTTCCCTCAACCTAAAGAGAAACAAATAAGTTTTTTTTTTTTAAGACCATCCTCTACCTGCATTGTTTCCTTGTTTATAATCACTGGATTTTGTATTTTGAAAGTCTTACCCTCCCATGTGAACAACACACCAAACTTAAGAATAATGCTTAGGAAAAAAATACACAATGTTCTCACCTATTGTGGCTTCTAGGCCCATTTTACTGACCATGGAGAACATATAGAGCTGCCAAAGTTAAAAAAAAAAAGTCAAAGTTATTTTTATGGCAAAAGAATGGAATTCATAATTAGAACTATGAGAGAAGAGATAGTATTTAATCAGATTACCATTTTTTAAAATGTATACAGTGGAACCCTGTCATAGTAGTAAATCAGTATATAGATTTAGATATATTAGTTTTCCATTCAAGAGATTTAAGTTCAATAGTGGCTCTCCCAGTTGTTATCCGTGTGACCTTGACAAAATATCTTCAAATGAGATAATGATGTTCATATCCCCGACTGTACTGGATTTTGGCTTAAAATATAGAAATGATAGGCTCTTGGCAAAGAAGGGAATATACCTAATAAGGACCAATAAAAATCTATTTGCCTGGAGACTTGAGTATATAGAACCTAAGAAGAAAATCAGCAATAAAATCCATCGCTTTGGATATCTACATACAACTAGAAGACTGGACAAAGTCTTTAAAGAAATAACTTTTAAGAAATAGACCTATCCAAAAATCAAATGGGCTGCCTTGGAAAATAGTATGTCTCCTTGCTCATTGGACACCTTCATGAAAATGCCACATGATGCAGAAGACATTTTCGTTCAGGTTCAGGTTGGACTGAGATTCTGTGATTCTGAAATGAACAAAGTATAAGAATTCCCAAAAAATAGAGATTACAATGTGAGGATACAAATTTGATCTCACTGATTTCACTTAGAATTGGTGGGATGTGACTCTGGGTTATAATATGATTCTGGGAGTACATACATTATTTAAAAAAAACCCACAATAAATAAAGGGGACAATGGAATAGCATTGTATTTTAAGAAGATATTCTCATGTAAGGAAATCCAGGAACCTGAGGCAACAATTATGATGGAGAACACTTGTGTAAGAATCAAAGGAGACAGAAACAGAAATCATATTGTTGGAATATACTATAGACTACCTAGACAGGAGGAATTAGATAAAGAAGCTAAGAAAGAGATTCCAATTCTGTCACAGAAACATTATTTGTAGTGAAGGGGACCAACTATCTGGATATTTGCTAGGGCTCTCTTTTTCTCTGAAAAAAAGGAAAGCAGTTGTTTTGCTTTAATGATATTTTTATTTATCAATGTATATAAAACTTCATGGTTTGCAAAACTCTTTACATATTATCAAAGTTGATCCTCCCAATAACCTTGTAAAGTAGGTGTTATTATTATCACCACTTTTCAGTTGAAAAAACTGAGGGCTGAAAGTTATCAAGTGACTTTCCTAGCTAGTAAGAGTCTGAAGTAGGATGCAGTCTTCCTTCAGTCTTCTAGCCACTGTACCACCTAGTTACAAAAACAGAGGGGGGAACAGCTATTTCAGTAGAAGCCCCTGCTTTAGAACTGAAACTTTGCTTTTTAAGTAAAAATATTCTAAACTGCAACTGCATCTGACAAGGTACATAACATTCTGCCCTAGAGCTGGACCTTGTTGTAAACAGCTAGGAGGAATTGGATCTTAAAGAATAAATAATAAGGAACTCGGAATGAAGCAAGCACTCCTTTGATTTGGTGATAAAAGAGGTGAAAGGTAGACACTATTTGAGGTAAACCCTACATTTTGGGAGAACAGATTTAAAAGGGTTCAGAGAAAGGATAGGTAGAATCTAGTGGCACACAATTTACTATAGAGTTTAGCAAGAGGAATGAAGAGATGTTAAGAATGAAATTCTGGAGACATAAACAGAAATCATTCCAATGATGAGGAAAAAGGAAAGACATCTTGAAGACATCAGTGTGCCTCCACAGGGAACACTGAAAAACTTTCAACTGAAGATCTTTAAAACATGTATAAAAAATATGAAAAAAACAGGTAGCAGAAAACAAATACAAAATGACATAGTCCTTTAAGAGCAGTATTGGAATGATTCATGTAGCCATGGATTCATTCTGCCCTAGAGTTAGACCTTATTATAACCTTATCGTATATTATATGAATCCATGTATTCATTCTGCCCTAGAGTTGGACCTTATTGTAACTTTATTATGTATTATATGAATCCATGGATTCAGTCAGAGGGCCACACATGAGGACCTAGAGAGCCACACGTGTCCTCGAGGTCGAAGGTTCCCCACCCCTGACTTAAGTTATGTTGAGGAAAACAAATGAATTGAAGAAAGAATAAGGAGGATGAGATGATCATAATGGGTGACCATAAAAAGTCAGAGAACTTCTTAACCTTTGTTTTCCTTCCATTATTTTTTCTTTCTGAAGAGAAAGATTGTTGAATTGGGAAAGATACATGAAAAATAACTGACAAAGTGAAACCAAAGATACACAAAGAGAAAGTAATAACTAATTATCCTCAATAAGTTCAAGCACCAGCCCAGATATGCCACTTACTAAAATAAGTGGTAAATATGGTTGCTAAGCTACTGATACAATCTCTATAAAATCATGGAGAATGCAAGAGGCACTACAGATTAGAGCAGGGCAAAGGCTGGCTTTTAATAAAAGGGAAAACTGTGAAATATATTTATTTAAAGGATTCTCTGTTAAAGTCCCATTCTGATTATTTATTGTTGTATTGAGGGTGTCTCTGGGTTCTTGAAGGCTATACTATCACAACACAAGTTCTGGGGGCTATCATGAAGCCAGAAAGGCTTTAAAAATGGCACCAGTGATATGCTTTGTGTATCTTGTCTGTCTAGCGAAGTTTCAAGGGCTCATCATCAGTTTTGCTCCGGGATGTTGAATCTTTCAGCCACACCAGCTGTCAAAAATCAAGTACTACATGATTTCCATCTATATGTAGGAGCTGTGGTATGTAGTGGTGGAAGGAATCTCTCCATCATAGAATCCTGAAGTATTAAAGAATTATTTTAAAGACTGAATATTTACAAATGGAGTAGTGATCACTCATTTCCAGCACAGTTTCAAAAAACAGGTCATGCATGCCACACAATGAATTTCTTCCTTTAAAAAAATAAAACATATCTAGCCTTGTATTTTCTGTACCTTTCAGTCAATTTAGGTGACTATAAAAATGTTGTTTCCTTTCAAATATATTATATGAACCACGCCTGGTGGCTTGCTTTCAATACATGTATCCATTATTGTCATTAAGGTTTTCTAGGGATAGGAAAGTATTTGATGAATAGGAAATATAAGAATGGAATGGGTAATCCTAATTAGAATACTTTGGTATATGAAATCTCTCTTCCTAGTTGCTTAAAGCATTTTTTATTTAACCTGAGATCTCAGGAGCTTTCTCAGGAAACACATTTTTGAGTATGTTACCCTTGGACATTTTCTCTGGTGGTTATCCAAGAAATACGTCCATTAAATATGGATTGTGTTGGTTAAATATGGATATTTATACACACACACACACACACACACACGTTTGATTTATAAATATATCCATTGAATATGGATGGTGATTAAATATATCCATTTGCACATTCTCACTATGGTTCCAGTACTTTGGGTCAATTAAAAAAAATGGTTTCCTGAAATGGGGTATTCAAGTTTTTTGTTTTCTTACTTTCTTTGAAGAGTCCAGTTTTGGTGGGGGGACTATCAATCCATCCTCTATTTTCCAGATCAGCTTTTAAAAAAAATAGTATGTAGCTAATGTGTTCTGAATTTGTTTTTTTTTTGACCTTTTAAGATTTTTTTTGTTATATTATTGAATGTTTAGTTCATTTCTTTCTTTTCTTCATGATGTTCATTGCTTTGTTAAGAATTTTCAGTTACTGTTTTAAGCTAGTTATTTTATTCTTTATTATTCCCTTCAGTTTTATATTGGGTTTTCTAATTGACGTCAGAATTCTTATGGCCATTCTATTCTCTTTTCTGGCATTTTGGTTGTAATTATTATTGATTTGTTGTCTACTTCACAGTTTTATCCTAGTTTTTTTTTACCTTGCAGTTTGTCTTCATTGTACTAGAGTCTTTCTTTGCTTGCTCATTTCTTTAATCTTTGTGCTATCTGCATACCTCCATTCTGAGGCTTGGCTCCTGAACTTTCGAGAGGTGGATTCTGGGTGAGTCACTTCCTAGAGGACATCCTGCCAGATTACAATAGACACTGAGGTGACTGGTAAAGGTCCTTGGTGAATATATACCCCGAGCTTCACCTCTCTTTGGATTTACCATTACATGGAGCCTATGGTGAGGGTGGTAAGGGTGAGGATTAGCCTATGGTGAGGTGAGGTAAGGGACCAGAGCTCAGAGTGGAAAGGTAATCAGGAGCCAATAGCAGTGATTTATGTTGGGATGAGTAGTGAAAGCCCTTGGTGGATGATCACCCAGCTTGCTGTTCATTTTAACCTTCATCTGTCTTTGGAACCATTAGAGATACCAATGGAGTCTATTACACAGGACCTAAAGTCATGTGTGAAGGGAGGGACACAAGAAGGAATAGTAAGACCAGAATGTAGAGATCACATCACATAAAGAATGGAGAGCTGGTAACAGTTAGAAACAGGATCATTGGTGAAAGCTTCTGGTGGAGGATAACACCGCAGGAAGCTGTTCCTGCTTTTCATCTGTCTCTGGAGCCACTAGGGCCACCTCCACTTCCTGACAATTGTTGGGGGGAGGGCAGCTAGGTGATGAAGTGGATAGAGCACTGGCCCTGAAGTCAGGAAGACCTGAGTTCAAATCTGGCCTCAGCCCAAACATTTGACACTTACTAGCTGTGTGACCCTGGGCAAGTCACTTAACCCCAATTGTCTAAAAAAAACAAACAAACAACAACAAAAAAACCCAAATGATGTAAGTTTGGGGGCAGCTAGGTGGCACAGTGGATAGAGCACTGGCCCTGGAGTCAGGAGGGCCTGAGTTCAAATCTGGTCTCAGACACGTTAACGCTCACTAGCTGTGTGACCTTGGGCAAGTCACTTAACTTCGATTGCCAAAAAAACAAAACAATTGTTGGAGTGGGGTAGGGTGGGTGGGCACAAAAAACTCATAGTGAGCAGCCAATAATATGTCATTTCTTCTCTCCTGTTTTGGAGCTCTTTTCCTTTCT